GATGGACAGGTTGACATCATTATTTGGCCACATTAAAATGTGGGCGTATAAAAATAATATAGGTCTATAAACAATTTATATCTTAAATATACATGCAGAGAGAGAGAGAGAGAGAGAGAGAGAGACTCGATACAAACTAGGCCGTTTCGGGACTAACATATGGTTCTATTTTATTTCAATAACCCCTAACATGTCTGATCTTAATCTGAATAATTAAGTTATGAAACCCGAACATTGGCCACTTTAATATGTAAAATTAAATTATGAAACAAATGTGAATGCAGGCACGTAGCTAGCCCCAAAATGTTGGTGGGGCGCAAGTTCTTCTGGGGCTGCCGATGGGGTTTCTGGGGCGCCGATGGGGTTTCTGGGAGCGCCGATGTACCTACACTTGACACGTTTCTTTGGAAAAGGGTCTAGGGTGCTCTCTCCCCAAAAAAATTTGAAATATAGGGTTTGCATCTGAGGAGAGGAACTATGAAAATGATGGAAAATTTCAATTTTGAGGCTGAATTTGCGATATTGGCATATTATGATATTAATATTATAAAAATTTGAAGGAAGGAATACGACTTTAGCGTACAAATAATAACTTATGAGAACAACGAGTTAGAGTGCGACTTGTTCGAATTGTGAAGATTATCGCGCCGTTTTGGGCGCCCCGCCAATTATATTATGGGCACCCATGATCTCGTCGTGGGCGGCCAACAATCTCAGCAATATGGACGCCCCTCCGGGACGAGGCACACCACCAACCATGCCGTTTTGAGCGCCCCACTGATCGAGTCGCCATGGGCGCCCAACCAATCTCATTGTGCATTATGTACGTCCCGACAATCATTTTTCAACTGAGTTATGGTTATGATACAAACTGTTACAGTATCCCAATCTCGATGTTGCTAGGGAATACACTAATTTTTCTGTTGTCTCTTGACTTAACAAGCGTCTAATCCGACCGTTCTTGAATAGTGCAAAAGAGACACTCTGACAAGTTTGCTTTTTAAAACTTTCTACTGAACAGTCGGAATCGAAAACTTGCTTATAGGGTAGAAGAATATTGTTGATTTAAATTAGGCGTTTAGTAATCTGCGGTAAATATTTTACCCAGGAATAGCTATTTATACCGCCCTATATATCGTTTATACAAAATTCATCTACTAGAATGATTGTAAGAGTACAGATTATATCTACATTTATTTCCACATTGATATATTGTTCTCTATAAACATATTAATAACTTAAACTTATCTATAATACATTATCTTTTACCAAACCTCAGAGAAAATAAAGACGTAATTGATTATGGTAAACGTAAAAACCGGTATAAATAAAACAAATGATATATTACTACCAACTAGTATGAAATAGAAAAAAAACGCTGATATTTGCTTTAAGCTAGTTTAATAATTACATAACATGTTTGTGATCAATACGATCAATAATATCGTTTATAAATATGTCAAAATGTAATTATTTATATAACAAAAATGTAACTCATCCAGATGCGCTGTAGATAATTGCGATGTTTCGACCGGGATAATACTTATTTCATATGGATGTATAACACTGCCATAGGCAACGTTTGAAAATATATTTTCAATGTTTCAAAATACTAATGGCATGGTGTAAAGATGCAAAGTACACTTTTCAAAATATAAAGTACAATTGTATGCTTTACATTCTAAAATTCATGAAGCATGAAACTGAAACAAAACTTTGAATTAGCTACTTTATATTACTCTTTACACATTGCATTATTCACTTTACTTGATAATCAATATTATTTCTTGATACAACCTTAAACATTCATAACTTGGCTCAGAATACAGAAACTTGACCAACTTTTCAATATATTGATTTTTTATTATTTATTTCTAAACTATTAGAGCAAGAACGGTCACCACCAAAGAAAAGGGTATTTTCCAATTAATCATGTTACCTTCAAAACGAGACCTATTGTGTTGTTGATTGCCATAACCTGACAGTCGATTCAAATCTGAATCTGGTGTCTCTTCAAGCCTGCCGTATTGATAAAACTTTCGGTTTATTTTGGGACAGACTTGTCACTACATCATTATTTTTGTTCAGTAATATACACCATCAAAATAAATGTCAAAATATATATAAAAAAATTGAGCAATAAACGATTGATTGTTGGTTAAAATTAAATCTTACTAATTAATTAATTTTCCTGGAATGTCACGATTTTAGTGAGTGATCCATCTATAGCTACACAAACTTCGAAGAAAACTTCAATTATATTAGTCCAGTTGCCAAACCCCATTTTAAGCCTTAATGTGGAAATTTAGTCCACCTAATGTTTTTTTGGTAGATTATATATCTTCATTATATGTAGATTCAGAATCCGGATGGTGCCATCCTGTCACCCTTGGGGAAATTTAAATATTCAAGATTGCCGCCATGAGGCATTTTCTGGTAATTTAGTGGGGTAAAATATGTGACAGATTCTCTCGGACCTCGGTTTGAAGATGGCTTTTTTAAGAATACGACCCGCTGAATCCAGTGAGTTTGGGTATTCCTTCTAAAATGTGATGGCTAATTCCGCTAGGGGGCCAAATTCAAAATGGTGGCTTATTTTGGCAGGAAACTTTACGTTTTCTAAAAAGATGTGTAATATATTGAAATATAGGTTTTCGGTGTAATATATATCTTCGATTTGTGTAGTTTCAGAAACCGGATGATGCCACCTTGGCATCCTTGGGGAAATTAAAATATCCGAGATGGCCGTCATGAGACATTTTCTGGTCTCCTAGCGGAATTGGCCATCACGTTTCAAATTAGGATGAATACCCAAGCTCATTGAATTCAGCGGGTCGAATTCTTATAGAAACCATCTTCAAACCGACGTCCGAGAGAATATGTCATATATTTTACCCCTCATGGTGACCGTCTTGAATATTTAAATTTCCCCAAAGGTGCCAGGATGGCATCATCCGGATTCTGAATCTACATCAAAAAGCATTAGGTGGACTATATTTTCAGGTTTGTCGACCTGCTGCCAGACTATATACCGTATGGGATTGACGATATATTCAATATGATATAATTTAACCCGTGAACTTGTGACGTCAGGGTTAATGGTTATCTCATCCTCGCGCCAATTCATCTATAAATATTACAATTTTAGATGAAATGAAATGAAATGAAATGGGGTTTAACGTCCTACTGTTCTGCTCCTAAACTGGGCTAATGAAGACGGGCATACGCCAAACAGTGTGCTATGAGGGAAATTTTGCCCGGGCAGCGGCACTATCGCCTACTCTTATATCGAATTCCAACTGCCAAGGGATCTTTTACGTGCATTCCAATGTATACACGGGACCTCGGTTTTTCGTCTCATCCAAAGGACTAGACAGCTGTCCTTGTCAGGCCCTCCGTTCTGCACCACTGACACGGGGAAACCACGCCGGAAAATCGGGATGAACTTTCTCGGCCAATGCATACAATTTTAGAAGTCAAATATTTGCAAGTCTTTTTTCGTGACATAGAGTTTCCAGGCAACAAACAAGTCCGCCAGGACATTTTTAAAAAGTGGCTTCCAAGTGACATCGGTGCGAGTTATGAGCTCACAATATTAACTGTTTTCCTTCTGCACATTAAATCCTCAATCATTTTTTTTTTTTTTTTTTTGAACTATTAGAAAAATAAATAAAGGTGTTTGAAGTATATATCGATAAAATATATTAGGCTATCTATTTAGTGTAAATAGGTATATCAAATAGTACACGAGGGCGTAAAATGAGTAAAGGGCACCATTCTGCCCAGACCAGGCACGTTACTCCGTCCTATGTAAACAATGATCGGCGCCGTGTTATGTGACGTCATACATAGAATGCATGTGAACCTATAAAGGTCGGTCATCTTACACAGAGTTAGAAGAAGGCTTTCGCAATACAGATTGGCCTGGTAGTTGATCCGATATGTATAAAGCCTAGGTAACAACCCGCGTTCGTGTTTTGGTCGCTAGCTAACCATCCCCAATAAACCGGGTGAAAATGTTGTATGTGCAGGACCAAAAGTCTCTACGTCCAGTATGCGATCTTCTACGGTGCCGAGCACACACAAATTTCTCGCACGGGTTTACTAAATATTTACCCCGTAGACTGCCCGTACGGTGGGTTGTGGGCTTCGGGTAGTTGCGCATGCTAAATTAGAATAAATGTTGACAAGAGTGGTTTAGCTAGATGTAACCAGTTTTATTTACCAAACTTATCTGGGACTCCTATAAATTGGCTACAATACATTGTACACTAAGTTTATATTCAGAAGCAAATAATGAACCCTTTAAATATAAATTCCATTGACGTCATATACTATGTTATTATTACATGAGCTTGAATTAGAATAGTCTATGTCCATCAGACTATACCCTTGTGGGTGCCAGTTCGTTGGGTTGTGCATATAAATATTCATTGTTGAATACGCTTTTGAAGATAGAATGTCTCTATGCTAGAGACAATCTCTGTAAGTACACTCGTGACAATTTCCACATAATTAGCTAAGCATGGGGTTTAACCTCCACTCGACACAAACTAAGCCATTTCGAGCTAACATATGGTTCAACTTTATTTTAATAATTCACTTGCGCATAGGGGTCTTTAGCAATGGGAGGAAACAGTAGGACCCGGAGAAAACTTACAATGTTGGACAGGGAATATAAACCACGCTACTTGACTCAATGACAAAACTGATGATCGAACGCGCATGCGTTAAACCATTCGGCCACCCAACCTCCCAATGTATTACAGATACAGAATTATATAACGATGGTGACAATGTGAAGGAGTTTTACATAATGTTGTTATATATATTTTCCTTATATTTCATACAAGGACGGCTCCTTCAAGAGTTCACTGATTGTTCCGAAATAACATGAAAGTGTTTAATGCACTACTTTTCTGCTCTATTGGTCTAATGAAGACAGGAGATGATTATTCTGAAGTTGGCAAATAAACCCACAAAGACAATCAACACTTAAAAAAATTAAGAAACCAATAATTTTTTATAACTATACATATATTATTATAGACAATCACATTATTTATTACAACCACATTATGTACAAAATAAATACAAATATATACACAAACAATAAACTTTACAATAGTTAATAATGTCTGTTAAACAGTGCATTGATTATTCAGGTATTCATATCTGCATGAGAATTTTTTAAGACAGATTGATGAATAAAAAATAATTTGTAAATTTAGTGAAGCTTAAAGATACATTTCCTCAATAGTCGGCCCTGAAGACATAAACATTGATTGGAAAATATATTCAAACAGAGATAGTGATAGAGAATTAGGGTTTGACATCCACTCAACACAACTAGGTCATATGGTTAGATTTTATTTCAATAATATTCTTGCATGTAGTAGCTTTAGAAGTGGGAGGAAACTGTAGACTGTAGGGCCAGGAGAAAACTCATGAAGTTGGACACAATACCCTTACTCCTTGTCACATACAAGCTGGGAATTGTAACCACCCCACTTGCCTCAATATGAACATCCTCACTTTCTGTCTACACTTTTATATATCTAGATCAGTCTTCTTCAATATTATCAATTGGAGTTACTGTGTTCCAAAAAGAGTCGCAGATTTTAATAGTCTCTGCTTAAAAACGGGGGACAATACGTTTCCAGGGTGAACTAGATGGTCTGAATTAACTTTGTGGGGAACATAATATCTTTAATTATTAACATGAGAAGCTATTATAATCACATGATTTAAGCCAGGGCTTCCACTTCAAAATTTTCACTGTCAGTTATTTATGATAATACACAAAAACTTTTCATAATAAATTCATATTTCATGTTTTATTATTTATGATAGGGTATCATAAATTCATGTGTCTATACCACTTTGTCAACATGGTGTACACAAAAAATCATATATTATACTAAAAAAATGAAATATTAGTGGGGCTTATAATAATTATTCATAAATGAAATATTCCCTTTTGGCTATTTAAATAGCTTTTATTATCAAAATATTAAGCAACAGTGGTCCTGCAGAGCCATAATCACAACATGAACAATAGTTTACAGGCATATTATCTATTTTATAGTGTATACAGATAAAGCTATAAAGATAAATAAATTCTGATATTTTGATTAATTATAATATTTGTCATTCACTATTTCAGCTCAAAAGGTAAATGTACATGTATATAAGAAAATCTAAATTATTTAATATACTCATTACAAAATATTGCACTATTTTATAATTTTTAAATTTATATAAGCAGTCTAGTATTTGACATTGCTAAAGCTTACATCAAAGATAAGTACATGTATAAAAAGGACATCCTGGTTCTATTTATAGAAAAAGCTTGTATATAGATGTAAATAACCAGTGTCACATGTATACAATAGTGAAGAATAAGAATAATATAAAAGTCAATGTTCATTATGAATCAAACTAGATGTTAAATTTAAACATACAGGCTCAGATCCATTTATACCAGGCATATGTATTGACACTTGATTGTTTAAGGCATATAGAATAATGACTTATTAATATGATACATGAACAAACTAATTCAGTGACGTGACATAGTTTGATTGTACGCCCCCAAGACTCGAGTATAGTGCCTAGTACTCAAAAATGTGAAAACTGAAGATATTTCACATATGTGAAGACAGATGAAATAAATTTTTTATTCAAATTAAGTAGGAAGTTAAAAAAAAGTAAACAGAGATAATTTCAAATTCAAAAAAACTTAATTTTAATTTCACGCTTTCATTGGATGCCCCCCTGAAATGGATACCCAGCACAATCGCCCTGTCAAGACTTTCTGCAAGCAACTGAATAAATTACATATTTAAAATATTTTTCTATTAATTTTGATGATTCAATTTCTTTTTTGTTGTTTTTTTTTTAATTCTAAATACTTCAATGAAAAGTTAACAATAGCTCTGAAAACTTCACTTTGTCAATAAATATCATAGCATTATACATCTTGTAATTTATTCAATGATTTGTCTTCTTCTGGGTTTTCAGTGTGTGCAAGTAAAGCTACAGTAGAACTATTACTACCATAACTAGAGGCCTCGGTACTGCTTCCTGCTGTTTCAGTATCTGCTAATGATAATGGTTGATAGTTACTGTCTTCTGCTAATACTTTATCAGTCTTCTCTTCTTCATATGATTCTATAATAAGGTAGATAACTCTAGTTTAACTTTTCAATCATTAAAGGAGGCAGCATAGTGATATTTATTGAACAAAAATAGTTAATTAACTTGTCAAACAACCCCAGTAAGTTTGAACAAAATTGACCTACAGAGAATACAAAGTTTTGGTAATAAGGGGCTATGACATTAGATAGGGTTAATAATAACAATTTTTAACCCTATGATTACAATCAGGATGCTCGATTGTGAGTCTGGAACGATCCGAATTGACAGAATTGCAATCAGTTGATGCAGAATTCAATCATATCACAATTCTGTCAGTTCAGACAACTGAGGTGGATAAGTAGAATCGTGATATAATTAAGCACAACAAATATGTTTCAGCTGTCACGGTTGATTGGGACGTTTTCATGGGCAGTCAGCACATGTGTTGTAACCCCAATTCCCCATTTTCACTTGATTGTTACTATTTCTGTGATTGAGAGAATTTAATTCCAGAATGGTAAATCAAGTATCCCAAATGTTTATCAACTATACACAAAGTTTCATCAAACTCTATTAGATAGAATCAAAGTCAAAGAAATTGCTTGGTTCTGCTTAGCTTTAGCAGGAAATGTTAATCATTGAACTCAGTCAAGACATTCACCTAATGAACATCAACATTAAACAACATTCTACCTCAATCAAAAGCAGAGTTGTTATGTTCCAAAGTCTTGACCAATCAAATTGTTTATCGCTCCTTAGCCTAAGCAGAAAATTCTCATCAAACTTAGTCAAGGTAATGGTATAATGAATCTATACTCAGAGATTCATAGCTCTCACTTAATTATAACCCAAGTTATCATGCCCAAAAGCATCAACCAATCAAAATGCTTATCTCTGCTTACTGTAACCAGACAATGTTCATCATCAAATTCCATGAAGGCATTCACACAATGAACGCCTACACCAAGTTTGAACATTCTACCTAACATTGCTTATTACTCTGCTTACCATCGGCAGAAAATATTCATTATCGAACTTAGTCAAGGTATTGATGTAATGAAATTATACACCAGGTTTGATCGCTCTCACTTAAAGCTGAACTACAGAAATAATCAAATAAAAAAAATTAGCGCCCTAAATAATAACCATACTTGTTTTCAAGTGGTAGAACAATCATGACGATTGTACCGCGTTCAAAAACAGAGGCAGGCCACGCCCACATCCAGTTCACGCCTTGTCAATCACACTGTCCACATCCGGCTAGCAATATTTCAGTTACCAATTACCTCCTGACTGATTGATGTTTTTTCACTAACAGTTTTTCTCATATTCTTAGAGCAAAAGTACGCCGTGGTTGACTTATTTCGTCTAATTAGTAAAATAATATGTACCTGATCAGACATAATAATTGTGTAGCAATAATATTTTCAGTAAACTGATAGTGAAAAAACATCAATCAGTCAGCTGAAATATTGCTAGCCGGATGTGGACAGTGTGGTTGACAAGGTATGAACTGGATGTGGGCGTGGCCTGCCTCTGTTTTTGTACGCCATACAAGTATGGTGATTATTTAGGGCGTTAATTTTTTTTATTTAATTATTTCTGTAGTTTTGTAATCGGAGTTCAGCTTTAATCAGAACTAAAGTTATCGTGTCCCAAAGCATCAACCAATAAGATTGCTTATCTCTGCTTACCCGGAACAGAAAATGCTCATCTTTGAACTCCATCAAAGCATCGACCTAATAAACAACTACACCCAGTTTGAAAATTCTAGCTCAATTAGAAGGAGAGTTATTGTGTCCCAAAAAGCGTGACAGGCAGACAGATGTACCGACGGACAGACAGACGAACCCGTTTTAATAGTCTCCTGCTTTCTTCGAAAGTCAGGGTACAAATATAAACCAGAACATCAATGGTGACATAAGTTTTAAACTTTGAGCATAGGGAATATAAACTAGTTATTTAGGAAGACAAATACCGTATGTTACAATCCTAAAATGGGTCTACATGTTTCCTGATCAGTAGAGAATCGCCTACTAGTGTATTTCTTTATATCAAACCAGCGGCTGCCAGGCAGGATACGCCCACATTTTGCAAGAGATGGATAGAGAACAAGCTAAAAACAAACAGGGTTTTTTGTACAATCAGGGGCAATAATCCAGAAAGTTATGGTCTGAAATGTGCAAATATCAAAAGGAACTGAGATTTTTGGGATATAAAGATATGTTTTAAGTTTCATCAAAATCGGATAAATATTGTGACCTCTAGAGGGTCCACAACCTTCGTATTGCATATTTTTACACAATTTGTCAAGCAGTTTCATTTCGATTTTCCAGAAATTCAAATTCAACCTTCATTATGGTGGAATGGTGATATATTTAAACGTTTTTAAAAATCTGAACTCAATCAAAATTATGGTGTAACGGTGATATATTCAATTCGAACGTTTTTTTAAATTGAATAATAATAATTGTGACCTAGACTAAAGGGATCACAATCTAAAAACGTGATTTTTCGTACAATCAGGGGCTATAATTCAGGAAAGGAACCAATATCTTTGGGTTATAAACATGTATTTCAAGTTTCATCAAAATCAGAAGAAAACTGTGACCTCTAGAGGGTCCACAACAATGATATACCATATTTTTACGCTACTTGGGTACATGAGGCGGCCATTTTGTCTGTCAGTTTTGGTCAGATTTTTACGAAATTTGACCTCAACCATCCTTAGGATGTAAAGGTGATATATTCAAACGTTTTTTTAAATCGAATAATAATTGTGACCTCTAGAGGTTACTCAAGCTAAAAACATGATTTTTCGTACAATCTGGGGGCATAATTCAGTAAGTTACGATCCGATATGCACGAATATCGAAAGGAACCAAGAACTTTGGGTTATAAACTTACATTTCAAGTTTCATCAAAATCAGAAGAAAATTTTGTCTGTCAGTTTTGGGACGATTTTTATGAAATTCGCATTCAACCATCCTTAGGGTGTCACGGTGATATATTCGAACAGATGTTTAAATCGGATAAAAATTTTGACCTCTATAGGGTCCACAAGCCAGGAAAATGTGGGCGTATAAAAATCTCAAGACAAGTCGATAAAGTAAAAAAAAAATGAGGCTTTGCCGAGTTTTTTGTACTTTATCAATGAGTGTTGATATTTTTTTATATCAAAAAAGACAAGTAGTATATTTTATTTATCACACAATCCTTTCTTACATGCACAAATAAATAAATATAATTCTTTGCTATAAATTTCATAGAACTGATTACATTACGGTGTAGTGATACATCATTTTTAGACAGCAATTCAACCATTGCAAAGTCCTTTATATTAACCCAGTGTTTCCATCAAGGTCAATTAAGTAAAAACAGTTCCTTTTTAGTAAAGACATTTAATAAAAAATTAATTTTTCTTTGAAAATAAAAAAAAGTAGTTCCTTTTTAATTGACCAATCAAATTCATGTAGATTATGAAATTTATCACACAAGCGATATCTACTGTAGAATGTGTTATTGTGTGATAATAAAAAACATAGTGCATATGCGTCTCATTTAGCCAGAGCTGGTTACAAACAATCTCTTGACAGTTTCTTAGCTTAACAAATATGATGAATCCACTCACCATCTCTTTCATCATCATAATCCGGTTCAGGTTCAGCTTCAGATGTATCTTCTTCTTCATCATCAGCTATATTACCAGTTGATAAACCACAAGATAATGGTGTAGTTGTTACAACTTCTGATTCAGCCATCTTATATAGTTTTATAACTTCTTCTCTATCACTGACTGATTGAGGTCTTTTAGGTGGATCAGGACTGGTTGATCTCTAAGAAAATTGAGGAAACAATTGTTCTATATTGGATTATAAATATATATGTAGATTTGGGAAATAATTCTTTACTCATTATATCCTAATTAATATAAATTCACATGTAACTACATACATTCATATGCTTTAAATATGCCCTCCTACATACAAACTGTGATTTGATGTAGATTTGGACTAAAAACATATTCAAATTTATCATTCAAAAGTTTTTCTTCAAATCCCTCTTAAAACATCTTAATTACAATGGAAGGAACTACCCCAAGCCTTAAAAATCTATTTCAAACAGCCTTGTTTGTCACGTAACTTGATTGAGGGAGTGTCCAATTCATATTGTATTTGTCATTACTCACTGTCCATTTACCACAAATATCGAAACCTAATTAAATTCTTGGATTATCATTTGACCGGTTATTTTCCCACTGTTTAACTGCAGGGTCTGCAGGATGTTCAACTATATCACTGTTCTCACAACCTGGGGGGTTGGATGGCGGAATGGTTAGCACGTGCGCGCTGTATCGTAAAGCCTGTCATTGAGTCAACTGGCGTGGTTTCGAATCCCCGGTTGTACGTGAAAAGGATTAGGGTCGCCTGTCCAACCTCGTGGGTTTTCTCTGGGTCCTCCGGTTTCCTCCCACGCGCAAGCGAATTATTGAAATAAAATTAAACCATATGTTAGTCCCGATATGACCTAGTTTGTGTCGAGTGGATGTTAAACCCCATTTCTCTCTCTCTCTCTCTGTTCTCACAACCACTAGCCAATCGATTTACACATGTAAAGTGCACCTTACGTCACTCGAGCTGTAAGGTTGCCAGTTAGTGATGCCCTTATATTTTTGTCCTATCCCAAGAGGGTTGGCAAAATTTGGTATATTTAAACATTTTAAAGAGTTGGAAAATAATGTTTTCAATTCAATAATATTCAAGCAATTTAAGGCCCATGAGAACCTTGAACTGCTCCTTGCCACAATATACTGTTCTACCATTCTAATAATGAAATAGTCCTAACCAATTGCTAAGAATATACCTTCTCCAGTTTTCCACATCGGAAATCAATCATTATGAAATTATTGGTATAAACATCTACGCAGGCCTATTTTTGTAATTTGTCCAATCCTACATAATTCTAATACTAGTTTACCTCTCTAACTGAAATCTGATCTTCTTCAGTTTCATCTGTAGGATAATCTTCTTCTGGTTCACTTTCTACACATTCACCTTTATCATTCACCGGATATCTATAATATACAAAATACACATTCAGAACAGATCAACATAATATACAAAATATCTTATACACCTTTAGAATAGATCAAAATTATACACAAAATATTTCATACACATTCAAAATAGATCAAGATAGTACACAAAATATGTTATACATGTTCAAAATTGATCAACATAATATACAAAATACTTAATAGACATATCATCTATTATATACAAAAAAATTAATACACATTCAAAATAGATCAACATAATGTACAAAATACTTGCTTTCGGTTTATTACTTCATTTACCATATACATGTAGCAACAGAGCCAGCGATTTTTTTAAATGATCAAATTGTGATGAATATTTATTTGATATACAAGAAACATTGTGTTTGAATTACAACATATCCTGTGTGTGTTAATGGTCAAGCTACATTCATCTTCCTCAGTTAGAAGATAAACACTTCCTGATTCAAATATAGTGGGGGATTATTGTCCATTTAACCATGCTTGAATAATTAGAACACAAGAAGCGAGAGCGTTAAGTTGTTCTAATGGATGATTCAAGCATGGTTAAATGAACAACAAACCCAGGATAAATTCGAAACAGGAACGCGTTTATCAATATATTGTAGCTCAAATATTCAGGGATTTAGTTTGGAACTATTTAAGGATCATTTTTATACCCATTTTAAAAAGTGGTTATTTGGCCACGTGCTGCGATTAATTTTTCAAAAGATGGTCTCTTTATTCTTAATAGATTTAAGCCGTCCTCGCTTTCTTGCAAATTTTAAAATGCTGAGTCAGTGGTAGATGAATTAAAAAAGAAAATGTTATTCAGATTATGCCAATAAATTTTTTTAACATTTGAAGATTTTTTAAAAGAATAAGAAATTAGTCTTATTGCGGTGTTTTTGATTGGCAATGTCAGCCGTAAATGAAATAGTTTCGGCCCGCTAACCGAGACTAATAAAGAGGGGTAACTCTTGACAACAAAGATGTTTTGCTTTCACTTTCAGCAAAGTTATATGTAACATTGCTGAGTTTTTAACCATTATTTTATTTGCAGACCGTCAACACAATTTTGTTGCTAGTTCTTGTTCAGACAAGAGCAGCTCATGCTTACATCAACAAAAATTGCCTATAAAATTATGTGATGCCGAGTATTCTAGCAGTTGGTATGTATACTGTTCTGACGTGTTGTCAAATGAATCATTGTCAATTATTAGGCCTATTTAAGCTGCTATATTCGCATAATTTATTATATTTTTTCAAGCGATTTCTTGTGACTAATGACTATTTTTTAGGCAGATTATGGTAGTCAGAATTTGATAAACCGTGATTAAAAAAATTCCACTCTATTAAAAGGCGTATGGCTCTCTTTTCTTTGGGGGGGGGGGGGGAACCTTGAAATAGACGTAAATGGTTCTAAAAGCACATATTAATGTAATATGAATATATGTAAAGTGATTTATATTCAATATTTGAAAAAATATTGTAATTTCTAATCAATTATGTTCGGTGAAATATGTGAACAGTTCAAACTGAACGTTAATCGTTTACACCCGCCAAGTCCATTCAACACATTTTTTAAATTATTATTGGTCGTTTGTGAATCAGCCGTTAATAATTACTTCCACATTATGTTGTAGGATGTGTTTTTATTTGTTCTTTAAAAAATGGCACCCCAAACCACAGGATACACAACTCGTGTACAGATTATAAAATATTAATTGTGTCTTAAAGATACTTTCCCAAAAAAGTATTTATCGGGTGGTTCTTTCCAATAAGGTATGTCAAATTTGGTATATATGGAAAGTATAGACACCCAATCTTACTAGAAAAATACTGGATTACCCCAAAAACGCACATGGGGCAAGCACTGGGCAAAATTGTCAGGGTATCATTAACTGGCAACCCGACTGTTATCTGCCAGCTTATTGTATGCCAGCTTAAGTGAGGGAGCGATTGTTATTTCTTGATCAAATGGACCCTCCCACAATGAAGCTAAGTTGACAGACATTGCGTCTAACAACAGCTTACTCATGGCTATATGTACCCCCGGCCAATACAAAGTTTTGAGAGTGAATTGAAGCAAATTTTTGATAGATTGGTTACTTTGAATATGTTTTTAGTCCAAATATATCATCAAATCACAAAGTTTGTACACGGGAATGAATCTTTAAATATTTGATATTAGAATCCTGTAGTTTCACTGCAAGATAACAACGTCAATATTGATTGAAATTGACCAATATTGAATTCTAATTCATGTTTTTAATTTCAAATACTATGGAAAATATTGAGTTAGAGACTTAGCTCCTTTAAGTAAACATTGTTAAATGAAGCTAGCCAACAAAAAACCTAGTTACGAAAAATTCAGGATACCTGAAAAGGTTTTAATCAATTCATGACTGATTTTTCTACTGTTTTATTATTTCGGAGTTGTGTTTGGATAAAAGATTAAGTTTGAAAATAGCGTGAAGGTCATTTGTGCAGAATTTCTTGAAGATATTTGTTAATAAAGATCTGAGTTGTGGAAGATCATTGAGCACAAAAATGAAAAAAAAGTACATATTAATATTTATACGCAGATATTCACCTGGCTAAAATAGAGGGGGTTTATTGTCCATTCAATCACACTTTTCGACCAATCAGAATTGATGAAATTTCTGATTTGTGCTACAATTTATCTATACAATTTATCTATAACAACATATCGCAAAAATATCATGAACAGGCAGAAACCTAATCAAACATACTTATATTTAGGTAATGCTGGTCGTCTTGGTAAAGAGTCCCCTGATTTGTCAGGTGATGGAAGATCGTCACTCATGTTTACTTCAGGTATCCCCCTTCTCTCATCCTCCCCCTCCCCTGACGATGACTTATCTTTATCCAGTTTCGTATCACCAAGTTGATCTGCTGTCATCTCTTTCTGATATTCTATAGGCGTTGTGGCTAATACTCTAGAAAATAAATCCTTACATAAATACTAATTAAATTAGATTTTTATAAAGATTCTAGTGATCAAATCGTTTATCTATCTGCATAACCATAGCAGACAATGCTCATTATTGTATTTGGTCACGTTTCAATGCTTACCATCAATTTAAAGGAAATGTGTTCTAAAGTCTTGTGAAAAACTACACAAAGTTTGAACATTCTAGATCAAATAGAGTTATTGTGTCCAAAAAAATGTGACGGACCAACTAATCCATTTCAATAGTCCCCTGCTTACTTCAAAAGGCGTGGGCCAGTGTAAGTCTGGTAACTTCTGGCCCTGTTTATCAAAATACTATTTGACTTGCAAACAAAATAAATACAATTATATCAGTGAAATTGCAATTATTTCAGCAAAGAAATCCAGACGAAAATCCAGCTTTTACTCTGACGTTTCGTGACTATAATATCACTATGACTACAAAGTATAAACTTACTCTGATTTTTTCTGTCCTTTCTTACCATCTGAGGTAAATATTGTATTACATGGTGGTATGGTGGTTGGTATACCTATAAAAATTATTAAACATACAACTAAAAAATCTTCTTTCTTTTTAAAAGTAAGGACAAATGAAATGCAATGGGTTTCAGGTCCTACTTTTCTGCTCCATCCGGGCTAATGAAGCTAAAAGTAAAGACAAATTGTCACCCTAATAAATTATTAATATCAATACAACTGTTAGAATATTTTTACCATCAGTTAATCCTGGTTGTGGCAATATCTGACCATTTAATGCTTCTATTAAAGATACAGCTTCATAACCGGGTGGTACACCTTCCTGATTACAGGTATTCTCTTCATTATCACCCTATATTTAACAAATTTAAAATGTTTAAAAAAGTAGGTCTATGGAAAATATATACCCATGTAATATTATAAATATAATGGATCCTTGTTACCAATAAATTAATTACCCAACAATGATAGCAGCACTAGTTTAGGTAATCTCTATAATCATGCCCCCCATTTGATGACTCGTTCATGTCTAGGCTGTGACTAGCTACGAGAACGTAGCTAAAAACGTTGAGATATACTGATGTGTTTGTTTTTAGCTATGATTGGCAGCCTTCAGTTTGACGTGGCAAACTCATTTAGTACACGCCCTTTTTACCATATCCTGAGGTCTGCAATTTATTATCAGGTCCAAAATTGCCTTTTTGATTGGCTGTTATAAAAGCCTAATTTAGCCCTGCCTTCAAAATGACATATTATACAGTCTATATGCTGTTTAAAAAGATGGCGGTCTTAGTAACGGCTTAACGCCTCGATTTTAAATACGAAGATTTGTACCCGTTTCAGGTAGGATTATATGCTTAATTGTAGTTGGGTGTTGTAGAAATATTATAAATAATAATCAATCGTTGTTTTGATTAAAACTATTGTCAATTTTGTTTAAAAATGCCGGGTGTGAATCGCTCCCGGAGCTGCAACGTTATAGGTCATGGCCTCAGTTCTTAACTCGAAACACGGAGGGTTGAGAGATTAAGGTTTGTTATCTAGGCTGTGACATAATTCTTGAAAATGGCAACTGTCAAATTCAGCCAAATAGTAGCCTTGATGATCCAATGGAACTTTTTACAATTATTACCAAATCAAAATGCTTTTATTTATATATCTACGTGTAACGTCATCAATTGTTGGTGGAGGATACATAACTCACCAAGGAATCGTGAAGGACTAATTTAATCTGAAAGCATTCTGTCTAAAGAACCTACATATGCCTCCAACCAACATGAGAATTAAAACTGTTGGACTACGGTAATTATTTTAATCATTTAGGCATTAAAATATACTTACAATCCCTGTTCCTTTCTTTCTCATGGCGCGAATCTGTAACAAGGCTCTAAATTTAACACGGCATATAGGACACATGCTAGCCTGGTATCTTAGAGATTCAGCACACCCACTACATAGACAGAGATGTCTACAGGGTAATATCAGTGTATCTCTCATATCAGACATACATATAACACATTCAGCACCACTATCTTCTAACTCATCATCAGGATCTTCCTATCATAAAAAAATAACAACTATTTTAGTTAATTACTCTTATGAATAGGTTTATATTAACTTGATCTCTTCTAGATGAGGTAGAGCTGAAGACAATCATTCCACTATGCCAGATCTATAGAAATAGTCATCCTAAAACATACATTATGCAAGATCTAAATCTGCCTATTGCAAGTCTTTATTTAGGCTTCAGATGTTATAGAAATTATTAATTATAGCTTTATTTACACGACAAGCTCAAAATCTACTCTGTAGACCCGCGGATGGCTTGGATACAGTTTGGATTTAAACAGTCGTCCATTTAAAATTAAATCAATAAATGGCGGACCAAGCTAACGTTTACTGTTAGTCGCAGATGTCACTACGGAAACTGGTGATGAAAGGCCTGCTAAGCGAGGCTACCATAGCCATTGAACATGTTACTTGATAACTGAGGATATGTGGGTATAGTTATCGCACGATCGACAATTCTCATAGATGGCGCAGACACAATTGTTGCCTATTTCTAGTCCAAACTTCCAACGTTCAGAACAAAGTAATTTGACTGAAATTTTCAACATTTTCTTTTTATATCATCTTTTTTGAATTATTATAGCAAGAATGGCCAACTCTTTATAAAATTCTTTGACTAATCTATCTTAAACTACTACCGTACTATTACCTTGGTTGCTTAACATCTGTGTACACAAAAGTGCTATCCTTAATAAGGAATGGTACATATATTGTTAACGCCAGCGTAACACCCTAATTCTAATATATTCTACCCCAGAAGCCATATTGGCATCATATCTTTAAATGCTTAGATGATGAAGAAGATTTATTTTCCTACATATCAACAACAGCTCAATGATCATGAATCTGTTAGAATCAACTTATATTATATAAAGACAGATTAACTGATTTCAGTTGACAATGACCGCATATTCTTTATTTTATAGTTTGACATTAACAAAAATATCAATCAAAAGAGTGAACAACAACTCTCGCAAAAAATAAAATCAGACGTGATCCAACAATTCTGTTTGTCCAGACAATTTTCATGGCAATCCAAATGTGCAATTAACTAGTTCAGGGCTAGAAATTCACGAGAATCTCTGAATCTAATCCACACAAGGATTCTCACAAGAGAATTGTCGAGTCTGACTACTGAATGTCAGTCATAGTGTTTTGAATCAAACTTGTATGACCTACGGTACTTTATAAGAGTACTACATGTATAATAAAATAAAATATTTGTTGAGCTTTTGTTTTACTATTTACCTCAACTTATAATTTTGACAAGTTTCTGGCTGGCCATTGTCTTTTGCTTTTGTGTTTATGTTATGTAATGAATTGTGTGAAAAATTCCCCGATCACAACACAGCGTCTGGTAGAAGTAGAGCATTTATTTTAATTCATTTTAATTAATATTTAAAAGAAACTGCTTTAGCAGGCCAACCTTGAAACAAAATAATTTTTGGTTCCATTTATCCTTTCGAGCGATTTGATTCCGCAAGTTCCACGTCAATATAATGGAGTTAAATTGGGTCATTCCAATTCTATTCTGTCACTGTCAAGGTCAGCCACTTGTTTTTTTTTCACTTTCGTTTGTGTGGATATAAACTATATTGCTTTATTATAATACTTTGTGCAGTTAGCAATTGAATTTTTGGGACATTGACAATGTTTTATTTTGGTGTTTTAGATTAACACAATAAACACAATTTTGTTACTATTATTAAATAAGATTAGGAGGATTCCTGCAGATTGCATATATGAGAATCGTCTTAAGATTCTCGCAAAAAATGACGAATTTCTAGCCCTGAGGATCAGCTTTAGATGTGATAATTTTATTGTTACCTTAGATCTTTCAACATTTTTGTTTTCAATACCATAAATTTCTTGAAGTAAGTAGCACAGACCATCAACAAACTGTTTTTGTTTTAGAGGTTTAATAGTGTATCCTCCTTCCGAATTTTTATCCATCACAGCGTAAGTAATATGGGCATGACCAGCATTCTCTGAAATAGATCAAAAGATAATAAGAATAGTTCTAAAGAATTATGTTCAGAACAAGTCTATATTACTCAGGTGATCTATGTTTCATAGGCGTATTTCTTGGCCAGTCAATTATTATTGGCACATACACTGTAACCTGGGTATCATTTAATCTTGCGTATCTAGCACTAATTTCTTTCATATTCGTTTAATATCAAATCTATGTTTAAAAATTTGTAAAATTACCCAATATAATTTAATTTGTACTTGTGTCCAATTTACAAGTGTTTAATTTCTTCATTACTGTTCAAAAATTAATAATTACACATCAATAATCAATTTGGTTGTTTATCTTTTAACAGTGATCGAGAAATGAAATGCTTGTAAATTGGGCATTCATTATCAAAACTGAACGGTCAGCTTTAAACTGGACACAAATACAAATTTGATGATTTTGGGTGATGTTAAATGATTTTTACGAATTTTTAACAAAGATTTGATATTGAATGAATGTGAAAGAAATTAGTATGTATATGTAATACCAAACATTTAAAAAAAAGTGTTAGTATGGATAAAACCTTTTCCAATCACAGAAGAATATAGTCATTCAATAATTCCAATAACATCTCAATTCCATAAAGGTAATGTTATATATTATCAGTATTTGTATCGGCTCATCTCAAAAGACATCAACAAACTTGAGATTTTAAAAAGAGGTCACTCCTTTTAAGATGTCATGAATTCTTTGAGTGGCTGCTGAATACAGATTCCACTGTAATTGCTTAGTGTAATTTAAAGAAAAACCAACAGCCAGACATTATTTGGAGCAGGGCAGTTATTGTGCAGAATACATGTATGCTAAATTTTAGAATTTAAATGCTCAGATAAACCACCGCTTTAATTTAAATGTGTAATTTACCTTCTTCCTCTACTATACATTGTATGACTACTGGTATAATTTCTTTATCAGAGTTATACAACCACTAGAAAATAATAAACATAGTTATAAATTAGTCACTCTGAACAAACAGCTGAATAGGACATTGACAGGATTATTATCGCTCAAGCTATATTTTACAATTACATGTATATTTATACATTTATTATCAACAGTTAAAAGCTGAACTCAAGAGAAAAATATACCGAAAGAGCTTTAACCCCAGTTCTAATGCAAGCAGGGAAGATAAATTCATTTTATTTCCAACATTATATCTGTCTTCATTAGCTAAGTTGAAGTAGAACAGTAGGAACCTTAAACCCCATTTCATTTCCAACATCCCCCACCCCCTAAACTCAAATAAGTTTGAGTTGAGTAGTTGTTAAACCCCATTTCTCTCTCTCTCTCTCCTTAACGAAATTAATAATATTTCTGGGTTGTATATTTTGAACAATTCATGGAAATATCTGTTATCAAATAACTATATAGTCAAAAATGTCACAAATTTTAACTAGTATAGAAATTTTTAACAGTACTTCTCTCTCAATTACAATCCGTTAATACTTTGTACTAGTATTAAAAAAAAGCCAAAAATGTCATTTCATGAAACCCATGCGCTTGAAATGTGTAAAGAATGCTCTTGAAATGTGTAAAGAATGGAGTTTAAAGTCTTGTCAAAACAATACTTCAGTTATTTTGAGACAAACATAATATGCCATGGTAAATTTCATTTTTATCATTAAGTATGGACTCAGATTGGTAGGGTATTTCTGTACCTATACATTCCAATTAAACTTAATATTTACATGGAAAAGGTAAATAAACTCCATACCTCTTCATCTGTGAATCTACTTGGTTTTACAATATGTGCTGGTTGACTAAATACCAAGCCAGTTCCACGTTTACAATGAAATACATCAGAGGTCATATTGGGATCTTTAGGATGATAACTGAAAGTAGGAAGTTGACAGAAATATTAGCGAAATATACAGCAACACATGAAATAAAAAAAACGGTCAACCCAGGAATCGAACATGGGACCTCCAGGTTAGCGAACCAATGTCTTACTCACTGAGCCACCATGGCTCCAAATTCAGTTAATAAACATTTTGGCCCATTATTTATTTTTAGAACTGTAAGTCTCCAAAACAACCTTTACATATGACGTGGAAAAATGAATACAAAAAAATGAAACATTTCAGTGAGCGCTATATTATGCTCACCAGCAAGAATTGGGTATAAATTAGTTTAATCTTCAAAAAAACACTTACACAACTTGTCCATTGACAATTTCCTCAGTAGCAAAATACACTATTCTAATAGAGCATCTGGCATCAGCATCATATGTAAACTCTAGATTATATAACTGTGACACATCATCTTTATCTTGTAATAATTTACCAGATGGGTCATACCTGGTCATGAAATAAATATATAAAGGAATGAAATATGGCAGGAATCTACAATTAGAATTATTCAGATGCAAATATGTCAAAATTGTTTATTAACCTTATATTATGATCCATGTTGAATTGAATATTTTATTATTTGTTTATCTAGATGTTATTTCAATAGGTCTGCCATACCCTTCAAATTCTACTTACTTAACAAGCTTCAATGAATCTTTTCTGATATTCACTAGACTTTTAAGAGTTTTAATTGGTTCATTACCAGCAGGAACAGGATACGGAAACTGTAAAATAATTGGTTAGATGCCGAAATTCAAATATGCTGACAATAAAATGAAATGTAGTCTAAAATTATACCAATACAAAATTTTGCCAGAGCAAATCTAACTTAATTGTTTATGTTTATTTCACAAACCAGTGTGAATGCCTCAGATGTTTGTACCATCCAATCATCCACACAATTAGACATAGTAACAAGAGGCCAACATGTATCTGACATCTCCAAATTTCTGATGGCAATTCAATGTTCACTTACATGCATAGTTACACTGTAGACAGTAAACAGTAATAAGAAGAACGTTTTTTTCCTGTATGAATGTTTTCAAAGCTAGAGCATTAGTAGACCGGAGTAAATTATAACAAGGTTATATATCAACACTCACAGGTACTGGTTTATTTCCTAAAAAGTTCAGATCATCACAATCACCAAATAGATATTCTCCTGGTTGTGGAGAATCAAATCTTTCTCCACCCATAATAAAGTGACTTCCAAAATAACTCCCTGCAATTAAATAAATATAATAGTTTCTTGTTAAACTAACATGACAAGCGTAATTTTTCACAACCTTAGCAAGTCATCAAATTGGGGTAAAATGGAGCTTATGTTGACCTTACCGCTGACAGCAATGGGATTTTCATCAACTCGGGGCAACTGGCTTCAGCTGAAAGCATGAAAAAGGTCGACCTGAGCACCTCTTCTAGTCAGTTGAAGCCAGTCGGCCCATGTTTAACTTTCTGCAACTCGCTTTAATAAGCGGCAACTAGTTGCCGTTGACATCAGCACTCTTACAACTGCATCAACTTGTTTCCATGAAAATAACATCACATGATACGAGACATGTGTCATGTGACTCTATAAGCAGGTAAAATGGAAGCGAACAAAGGCATCCTATTTAAAAATGTCAATGACGTCGACAATATGGTAGTAATATAATTGTGCAAAGACCGACCATGCCTTTAGTTTGATATATTTGCCATTCTGTTGATCGTGTGATAAATTAACAGTCACGCGTTGAGTGTAATCGCTATCAGTTACGCGTCGACATTCAGCTGCTCTCAGTTCCTGACTTGATTGGCATAAGTAGACTTGCAACTAGTTGAAAACAGATGCTCCCAGTCGCAAAGTCGACATACATGTAAGTCCTGCTTCAGTTCTTCAGAAAACAAATTCATTTGAATATCTTATGATTCTTATCAAGCATATTGATATTCACTGAGAGAGTGAATTATTGGACAATACTGGCCTTTTTGAATATAACTTTGAAACATTGTATTACAAGGTGTGCTTTATTTGTATATTTCCTGGTTTACATAATAAAATATTTACCATCTTAGACTTGCCCAATAACCTAATAATCAGAAATATCCACCGCACAAGCTTGTGGCCTAGGCAAAAGACGGATAATATTAAACCAAGTAATATAGGTTATATATTATAATCACCAAAAATACAGATCTTACAGCATTAAAAATCTTTTAATGGTGAGAAGAAAGGTTTGTTTCAAAATATACACACTAGAACTAGAAGAAGGATGTCGATAATCGAAGAGATTAAAAACAATTCATATTTACCCGACTTAGGGGGATATCTGTAGGCATTATTGGAAGAAAGGTCTACCGTTTCTACGCCAGTATTTCGTCGGCTGGCAAAAGTTCCACCCATCTTTGATTCCGATGGCAAAACAATAACAAATTTCTACTTTACAACACAACATAAACAAAATGATACATTTTGTGATATGATGGCCACTAACGCTAATTTACGGATTTGACAAGAACTACAGACGGGAGTTAGTCTTCATTGTAAAAGGGAAATAACCTCTCTCATCATTTTGGCTTTCTTCTTGGAATCAGACTGGTAATCTTCTTCCCATTGACAACTTGTTAAAAAAAAAACAAAAAAAACATGCCATGCATTGCCTTGTAACTCTTTTTTAGCATTCTGATGATCTTAATCTTTATTACCACAAAGAGCCCAACACCACATAATTATGATAAATATATTGAAGGGTGTTCATCATCTCGATTATTTGTAATGCCCAGCAAGGGGAAGCTATGCCGATTATAGGCTCTGACGTCATTTTTGTACGTGATTTCCCTAAATCATGTCTGTTGACTTCCTGGCCCTTTCAACCGAAATTCATGACTATTCACCAAAACCTGGCATAAAATTTGGGACCATCCCGGATTCCGTGGAAAGCTATGTTATGTCCTTAAGTGAAATATGATTGGGGAATCCTTTTCTATTCAAAATTAAAATTACTACCATTACGAATAAAACGAAAATCAAACTTAACCGTGATTGTTATTTGCTGAACACATTATTTAAGTGTTTTTTTAAAATCAAAAACATTTTGTGGTGCGACATCTAGACGGGCCACAAGCTAAAAATGTGACTTTTCTTGAAATCAGGGTTAATATTCGAGGAAGTTACGGTCTGACTAGAAATGGTTCCACTACTGATATCTTCCGTCTTAGTGGATCATTCTAAGGACTCCTTTGGGTAGATTTTGTTATGATTTGATGACAAAAAAGTTACTGGCCTTAATTTCCAATTTAACCGACCCAAACTGTACTGCCCATAGCTTAACATATAATAAACAAATTCACATTGAAATAAAGGTTAAACTTTAAGATAATTATATGATTTGATAAAAACCAACTGCTATGCGAAATTTCTGTCCAGAATTATAACATGCACGTGATTCTAATATAAATATTATGTGAATAGCCTATATTTTTTTAAATAAAGACTTTAAAATTACAGACTATTCTGTCCAAAATACCAAAGAAATAACTAACTGGACATCAAATCTTAGTTTTTCTCACTCTAAAATTGACTGTGGAATTACAGAAAAGTAAAGACGAAAATGGTATATAATGTAGGCCTATATATTTGTGAAAAAATAAATATTGACTATTTTTTATAGAATATAGGCCCATAAAATATAGTTATATAATGTAATCCTATATTTTATTACAAATCAATTTGTGCTTTTATTCTCTCTGAAATTACTATTGAAAAACAGCATTGTAAATAGTAAAGAAGAAAATGTGATATAGGCCTATAATATAAGTAGTTATTTGTTTTAAAAAATAGGATATAGGCCAATACATATAAAGGTTTTTTTTAAAAAAAAAAAAATATGATATAGGCCTATAATATAAGTAATTTTTTTTTAAAGAAAAATGGATATAGACCTATGCAGTGACAGGTGTTTATTAATATAAAGACCCCACAATAAAAATAACTTATATATAGGCCTATATATCTTTGAACTTTTCTAAAATTACTAGAAATCGGACGCAAATATAAGTCTATATGTGAATAGCCTTTTTTTTTAAAAAAAAAATAAAAAACTCTAAAATTACAGATTATACTGACCAAAAACTAACTGGACAATACATCATGATTTTTTTTCCTCTAAAATTAACTGTGAAAGTAAAAGAAAAGTAAAAGAAGAAAATGGTGTAAGGCCTATATATTTCTAAAGAATAAATTTGGACTGTTTTGTATTGAATTAACATTGAAATACAGAATTTTAAATTGTAAAGAAGAATATGGGATACAGGCTTGTAAAATATAGTTATGTGAAAAAAAAGATGAATTTGTGCTATTTTCTTTGAAATTAACACAGAATTGTCAATTGTAAAGGAGATAATGGGATACAGGCCTATAATGTAAGTAGTGTTTTTTAAGAATATGATATAGGGCTATAACATTATATAGTAGGGTTTTTTAAAAGAGGAAAATATGATATAGGCCCATGCAGTGAAATGTTTTATTAAAAAATATACAGTTTCCATAATTACAGTAGACTATGAAGAAAATATACGATCCCCCTGAAAAAATTAACTTCTATATCTTCAAACTTTTCTAAAATTACTAGAAAAAAACACAACTGGGCATTTAATGTAAATCTTTTTATATATACACTAGCAGGATACCCGGCTTCGCTTGGGGGTCATAACTCCGAAACCGGAAGTGGTAGACTAACGCCACCTGGCCTATGTTACTCCCCGGTCCGAGCTACCCCTATACCCCAAATTTCAGACTCGGAGCAGACCTAGTGTAGCCGCCAACCCCAAACAGACAGACTTCGCTCGGGGATCATAACTCCGAAACGGGAAGTGGTAGACTAACGCCACCTGGCCGATGTAACTCCCCGGTCCGAGCTACCCCTATACCCCAAATTCCAGACTCGGGGCAGACCTAGTGTAGCCGCCAACCCCGAACAGACCGGCTTCGCTCGGGGGTCATAACTTCGAAACCGGAAGTGGTAGACTAACGCCACCTGGCCTATGTTACTCCCCGGTCCGAGCTACCCCTATACCCCAAATTTCAGATTCGGGGCAGATGTAGCCGCCAACCCCAAACAGACAGACTTCGCTCGGGGATCATAACTCCGAAACGGGAAGTGGTAGACTAACGCCACCTGGCCGATGTAACTCCCCGGTCCAAGCTACCCCTATACCCCAAATTTCAGACACGGGGCAGACCTAGTGTAGCCGCCAACCCCGAACAGACCGGCTTCGCTCGGGGGTCATAACTCCGAAACCGGAAGTGGTAGACTAACGCCACCTGGGCTATGTTACTCCCCGGTCCGAGCTACCCCTATACCCCAAATTTCAGACTCGGGGCAGACCTAGTGTAGCCGCCAACCCAGAACAGACAGACAGACAGACAGACAAACGACAGTCACAAATATATATATATATATATATAGATAGATAGATATAATAATAGATAGATAGACTCTAGACTCTAGAATTACAGACTATGAAGATAATAATATTATATAATACCACATAAAATTAACTTTTCTATATATGTTGACCCTTTTTTTCTGTAAAATAGTGAATAGTAAAAAAAGAAAATGGGTTATTTATATAAAGATCCTAAAATGTAAAAAAGAAAGTAGAATATAGGTTTAGATATATGTGTGTATGTATGTATGTATGTATGTATAAAAAAGCTATAAAATTACATATTAGGATAAAGAAGAGCACACAAAAAAATTAGCTGAACAGTATTTAAATTTGAATATGCCATTGCAAAGACAAATTGGTAATGTAAATACTGCTTATACTTTTATTATTTTATCATGGACCCTATATATGTCAATAGATATTATAATATGTACTCTTTTTTTACCAAAGGACATGATACATTTTTGGTATTCATAAATATTTGAAATATAGTAGAGAATTCTGGACGAATAAAACTGGCTGATTTCCAAACATTTTTAAAATCCAAAATCAAACCTATAATTAAAAAAACAAGGGGTGGCATCTTGCAGTTACATTTTCTTTTTCGTCAGATGATTTTATATTTTCCAAACAATGACTGATTTAGTACGTATTATTAATAGTAATGGTAATGGTACAAAAGCCCATCCCTACTCTATAATTTAGTATTTATTATTTTCAATTGTATATAAAAATTGATAAATTCAACGTTATAATCTGATTTACGGCAAACTGAACTATTTTAAGAATAAAATCAATGTTGTACCCTTGTGAATTTAATTTATATAAAAACGCCAACAATGTATTAGACACAATATAATGTTCTGTTGTTAATGTTTTCATCGAATTTGCTTGTAAACAAAGCGCATACTGATAGTGGAAATAAGAGACTATAAGTGCTTCTGGGTGTAGCAAGATGGCGGACGGTGGCTTCAAGCTACGTCATTTGTTGATTGTGTCATGAGCTATCCAGTTATTATATAGATCAGTGAATCAGACACTGTTCATACAGACACTGCCGTCTTTATCGACCAATCCCATAAATCGTTAATTGTAAAGGAAGTTGGCATAGGAAAGTAACTCTCATCAGTAGGGTAAGCAAAACACAAAGGCTTCCCTCAAGAGAGGTAGCATGAGAGAAGTCCAAATCATAATATTATACTCTTCAAAATAAGTAGGGGATATTCAGAAACAATACAAAACTGCGGAAATGCATTGCTGTTTTTATTAGAAGTAACCAGTGTATGTTAATAACAGGCCAATTGCCTACACATGAACATAAACAGTTCATATGGGCGGCTTATCTGACGGCCCCATTTCACTCGCAAAGAGATACACCGTCGAAAGTGAAAATGGACGTTTTTGACTTTTGTCTATTATTAAATGAGTAATTTCTTCACCAATCCTCAGACATTCAGCAATTCGTCGTGGCATGCTCCTAATCAACCGTCCAATCACGATTTGGGGCAATCTGACCCACTCCTCTTGCAGTGCCACGGCCAATTCTTGCAGTGTTGTCGATTGACGTTGACGTCGACGAACACGTCTCCCGATCAAATTAAAGGACAATATTGGTGCAAGTCATTATCACATACGTGATAGAGCTGGTTAGACACATTCCACATATAATTTTAACACAGAGATCATTGCTACGATAGCTGAGTAATACAGGTTTCCTGAATCGGAAGTGACGAACGCCAAAGGAAAACACGAGTCATACCTCTCTCTATATAACTGACTGATGTGACGAGTGATAACAGATACACGATAAGAGAACACGAGAAAAATAGAAATAGTCTGTACATTCCCTTGTTTATATTCATTCTATACCTTATAAAAACAGGGTAATGCACGGACATTTTCTCGGTTTTTTCGTGTTCTCTTATCTAGTGGCAGTCAATTCTTTTTATGAATTGTCAGATATCCTCTCACAGTCTCACACAACTTTTGGTCTTGGAAGGAATTATTAGTGAGCAGAAATTCGGCCGTGTATCTGTTATCACTCGTCACATCAGTCAGTTATATAGAGGTATGACTCGTGTTTTCCTTTGGCGTTCGTCACTTCCGATTCAGGAAACCTGTATTACTCAGCTATAGTAGCAATGATCTCTGTGTTAAAATTATATTTGGAACGCGTTTAATTGGTTTTATCACATATGTGATAATGACTGGCACCAATATTGTCCTTTAAACGTAACACACTAAAGCAAAGATATGCTAAACAGTAAATCTTATGCAAGAACCGATAGGAATGCTAACATGGATAGATAAACCAGCACGCGGCAGTTTTCATCAACCCTTCCTCAATGTGTCAAATTTGACAATGAACCCCTCCCACGTGTATGGCGCTATTGCGTGTCGCATGTGCAGCTCGGTGGTTCTGTTGGGGCTATAAGTTCTTCATCTGTGAACATACTCTCAAAGTATGTCAAGTGTCCATGACTATCACAACCTGCATATGTATTTGCATTTCAATATCCCCTACTTTTTTTTTTGAAGAGTATATACGAGTATTTATTAACAACAACTTACAATTATTATATACTGAGCGCCATGGAAAACGCATCACTTAGTTTTTCGTATAACAAAATGATCCTGTAAACATATCTTATTTATTTTATTTCTTATTGTGAACAATATTCAAACGAGAACACATTAATAACAACACATTTGTACACTTATGGATGTTTAATCTGTAATCAACGGTACAAAGTCAGAGGGGTCAAAACCAAAAGTACGACACAGGTGTCAGTAGCGCGTGTGTCCTCCACGGGCTCTTACGCACGCTGTGCAGCGACGTCGCATGGAATTTACCAATGTTTGAAAGAAGGCCTGTGGCAAATTATTCCATTCTTGGACAAGAGCAGCTTCTAAAGCAGCAATGGTGTGCATCTGGGGTCTCCGATACAGACGGCGTCCAATCTTATCCCAGACATGTTCTATCGGTGCCATGTCCGGAGATATGGCTGGCCAGTCCAAGACATTGATGTTGTTAGCAGCCAGGTAGTCCATACTAAAACGGGCGTTATGCGGACGTGCATTATCCTGTTGGAAGTGCTGAAGTTGTGGGTGCGCTGGAAACATCGGAACAACAGTTGGTTGCAAGACATCATCACGGTAGGCTACAGCATTAACGCGACCCCTGCAAATGTGTAGGGCGGTCCGGTGATGAAATGTGAAGCCTCCCCACACCATTACACTTCCCCCACCCCATCGATTCGTCTCGAAGACGCAGCAGTCTGCAAGACGTTCCCCAAGACGTCTCCACACACGTCGACGGCCATCAGCGTGATAAAGATGAAAGCGACTCTCATCACTGAAGAGCACACTTTGCCAGTCTTCTCTTCTCCATGTCGTGTGTCCTTGAGCCCATATCAAACGCCACTGACGGTGATGACCCCTGAGGATAGCTCCAACATAAGGTCGTCGTGCACGGAGTCCTACTTCTCTTAGACGACGTCTTACGGTGTTGGCACTTACTGGTCCTTGTCTTCCGACGACTGCTGCACCTGTTCGAGTCGCTGGGCGGAATCTGTCACGCAGATGAGTGACCCGGATGTAGCGGTCTTGAGCCTGGGTTGTAACGCGTTGTGGACCAGGACGTTGACGGTCACGTGTTGATCCAGTAACTCGAACACGTTCCACCAACCTTACAATAGTGGTTGATGACAATTGCAGTGTCTGGCAATAGCACGTGTAGACATGCCAGCCTTGGACATTCCCATGGCTTCACTCCGTTGATTTTCAGTAAGTCTCGGCATCTCTAGCTCGATTCCTTCACATGTCCAACAACAAATTACGACAGATTGACGTTTTAATGTACTGCACATTAAGTTGAAAACATGCTTTTAAAGGGCTCACACACAATGCTGCACGTGAATATTGGGTTTTTCATGTGCATCTCGTGCAATTTCTTTTTGTGCACACGGGCCGATATTTTTTGCGTTTGGGAGCATTATGTGACACAATAGTTCATAGTATTGCAAAATATTATACATACAAAACCACCTAGTAATAAAATATTTGGGGAAAAAAGTGATGCGTTTTCCATGGCGCTCAGTATATCATATAGTAATGAAGACAGGCCAGGTGTTTGAGTTATTGTATGTGTATATATATATGGAGGTTTAAGAGTTTTAATGAGAATCAAATTGCCGCGTATAAGTTCAATAATAATAAACATAGTTCAATAATAATAAACATAACAGAATGAAACATTTCAGACAAAAAACGAATAGTAATAATAATAATAACAAAAAACATATAGATGGCATACATATTTGAAATCAGCGAAACATACTACAGATTTTGATAATACAATTAGATACAAATGAATTAGAAATACATATAAATTATTCCTATAAATCATTCATTAAATGGACATGAATAGGGTTATCTACCCTTATAGAAAACCAATCCGAAACGAAGGTCGAAGGTCGTTTCATTAGTAAGACTGGTTTGTAAACTGTTTTTTGGTAAGTTCGTAGAATTTAGCTACAATCAAGACCAGAGATAATTTGAAATCGTGGAAACTCTATGGATTAACCCAGGGTATATTGGGGTAGGACTGAAATGAAATGAAATGGGGTTCAATGTCCTACTCTGAACTGGGCTAATGAAGACGGGCATACGCCATACAGTGTGCTATGAGGGAAATTTTTGCCCGGACAGAGGCACTACGAACTACTCTTATATCGAATTCCAACTGTCAGAGGATGCTTTACGTGCATGCCAATGTGCACACGGGGCCTCCGTTTTTCTTCCCATCCAAACGGCTAGACATCTGTCCTTGTCAGGCCCTCCGTCCTGCATCACTGACAGGGCGGAACCTTAAATTTGTATGAACTTTCTCCAGATTTTCTGGCGTAGAACGGAATGATCGAGACAACTGGGGATACCGACGATGAATGGAAAGCAACCGAGACCTTTGGGACATAAACATATCCTTTAAGTTTCATCAAAATTGTATACAAATTGTGACCTCTAGAGGGTCCCTGAGCTAAAAACGTTAATTTTCGTACAAATCAGGGGCAATGATACATGAAGTTACGGCGGTCCGATACGTACCAATACCTGGTATATTTATCCGATTTTGAAGAAACTTAAAATAAAGTTTCTTCAAAATCGGATAAAACATTGTCGCCTCTAAATAGAGTGTCCACAAACAAATGTGCACATACGCACAGAGACAATCATGTGAACGGACAAGGGCGATGACATAATCGAGTATATAAAAACGCATTCATTTATTCAAATGATAAATCAATAAAATTCAAAGTGTACATTATTTAGAATGTTTGCCAAGACATGTCTCCCCAGAATTCAGCAATGGGAAGTGAAAATTTATCTATCCCACCTAGGTAATAAAAATATGTACCAAAAAATTGAGAAGTCATTAAAGTTTGCTTTATCATACTATAAGTCCCATTCATATTCCAACGCTTGTCCGATAATTTTAGCTTATTGTGAAATGACGTCACACGCACTGCCCTGTGAGGTGAAACGTCATAGGCAATTCCCGATCGCTATTTGTCTTCAATTCTGGTGTGATATGTTAGTATTTCATTTCAGTATTAAAACATTTCACCGACAAATATTCTTTCCATTATATCGTTTAGCCAAAAATAAATATTACTATGCCTTCGACCACTCCCACTTCCTTTTAATCTTACGCATGAAGTTGATAGAATTGCGTATTGTAAGCTATTCCAAACACCCCCTCTGTAAAATACTCGTTTAGCCAATCACATATCTGTTTACATGAATTTGCAAAACATCGATCAATCAGATGAGCCGACATTTCTGTCCTAGCCCTTGTGTTTATAGTTGATATCGAGTAGCGTTTGGACTGTTTTATAACGCAATTTTTGTCAAATAATATGGAAAATTTAAAAGAGCAAGTGATGATAAACCAATTTATGTTAGCAACTGGATGTGTCGCCGTTGAAGCAAAACAGTTATTACAGGCAACAAAATGGCAATTTGAGGTAAAAACACTGAATGAACAAATGTAAACATGGCCGAACGAATGTTTATCTTTTCGCCGGGTGACTTTGATTTCCTTGTACGCATATCACTAAGGAAATGGCTGCCTATATCAGAATCTACCGCTCATGTATTTTGTTTCAATTTATTTCAGGCGGCGCTAAGTATGTTCTTCCAAGAGGCAGTAGTTCCTTCAATGTGCCGGACGTGTAATGGAAATCATGCTAGTGGGAATTACCCAGTGAGTATTTTGTTTGTAGGCCATGCACGAGATCTGCCATATTTGCTGTCTGATGACATCATTTCAGGCAATTCATTCGCGCCTGGTTGTATTTGTTGTGAATGTCACGCTTGAGAAATTCATTTAGGTGTGGCGATTCACAGATTGCCAAAATATTATTGTGTAAATCTGTGATACTTCTTCTTTATTATTCTGTTGTTTAATTTACTAGGTCATCTCCATAATTTTTAAAGTCTGCATATATCATGTTTTCATTGTTGTTTTATGGATATTTTCCATGAAAAGTCTTTGTTTTGAGTAATAATACTTCCTTGTCTTGACTGTGTCAGTCTGACCTTTTATGTTAGGACAATGAGTGTTATTTTCCTTTTAAAAATTACAATTCCCAGTTGTAAAGCTAATTTACTTATTCAATTAACTATTCGATATCTTGAAAACAATAAATATGTAGAAATGTATTGCATTTGATGATTTCTGGTATTTTAAATTATTATTTCATTTCATTAATTAAGGCATAAAAGTTTATGTATGTGTGTGTGTTTGTAGAGGGCTGGGGGGGGGGGGGTGGGCACCAAGAAGAAAAATTGGTTTCCAGTGTGTTTTATTAAGCTGCAGTTTTTAATTAAGGAAAAATCAACACACATGTACCTCAGACTGTATTCAACAAAATTGTGCCATCTGCCGGGCAGTTTACTAGCCAACCTTTAACAATCAATGATATGATTGATTGAAAGCGATTAGCAACCCAGAACAATATAGAATAGAATATTTTATTAACATACATTAACATTATATTGTTCGTGTTGTAAAGGGAGGAGGGGGTGCATAATTATCTCGAAAGAAAGGACCATGTATATCTCATGTAGTTTGTTTTAACATTTTAACATGATTAATTTAGGATTTCATTGTTCGCAAGTTATGAGTCATACGTACATGTACACACACGAAGTGTACTGATTTCAAATGCTAGAGATGGATTGATGTAATTGCAACTATACTTTTTGTAGTCATAAACTCATTGGAATATGTTAATATAGCAGATGCTAAACAGTGACTGTTAGTCCAGAATCAGAATATTGATTAGTAGAATTTTGTAGTAAAAGTACCAGTAGGATGGTGTAGTTGATTATAACTGTCTTTGAGTACATATAGGCCTACATGTACATTTATGGCTATGACTTATGCAGCTAGAGTATTGGTAGTACAATAATAATAATATTAGTTTATTCACAACTACATGTTTAACCAGGTGTAGGAAAGGTACACCAAACAAGTACATGTACGAATATAAGATATTTCATATTGTGATACATTACAATTTCTAATTTGAAATTTTACAAAATGACATAATGAGTGATAAGTCACTTAAACACACATTATGCAAGAGGTAAATCTGCCTATTGCAGGTCTTTAAGCCTGAAATGATATCTAATTTATTAATTAAACATTAATTAACTTATCCAGACCATAATCAACTCTCGATGTCATCGCTAGCCTGCGATATTTACTGGATTAGGATCCGAACTGTTGTTCTATGCTCATTCATCATTAAATCAAGAAATGGATAATCGAGCCTATGTATTTTATTGTACCGACTTTAGAAATGATGATCGCGGCTAGGCCCAAAATTCAATTGCTAAATTCTCAGTTCAGAGTGGATCAATTTGACTGAAATTTTCAGCAAATTTCCTTTACATTATCTAGTTTTTAACTATTATAGTGAGAACTGCCAGCTCTTTATCTAATCTCCCATAATGTATCTTTAAGAGATTTTTATAATAAAATACAGAAACTCTTAAAGGAGCTAAGTCACTTTACTCAATATTTTCCATAATATTCGAAATTAAAAACACAAATCAGAATTCAGTCTTGATCAATTTCAGTCAATATCGATGTTGTTATCTTGTTGTGAAACTATAGAATCCTAATAGCCAATATTTTAATCTGATTAAAACACAGATCCTATTTCGTTTTGTTTTTTATAGTTCAAAATTCTGTTTTACTTGTCTTAACTACACTAGGCGAGTTCTTGGCGTGCGATGCACGGAACTGTAGGTAAACCACTAGAAACGTCAATGCTGATTAATTAATTAATGTCTGACGTCATAGGGTAAAAAGCCGCTCGTACGACACCTGAATCGACCTTCCCATACAACTGGTCAGATCTTCATGTAGTGTAGGCCATCGAAAGTATAAAAAACAAAACGAAATATAGATCAGTATTTTAATCAGATTGCCAATATTTACACAATTAACATTTTATAATCAGTACACACGTTGTGTACCCAATGTTTTCAGTTAATGAAAAACTAAAAACATATCTTACAAAACAATGTGGAAGTACATGTAATTAGTAAAGGCTGATTCACCAACGACAAAATAATACATGTACAGTGTAATTTAACAAAACGTGTAGAATGCACTAAGCAGGAGTAAACGACTGTCGTTCAATTTGAACTGTTCATATATAAATTTCACTGAACATAATTAATTAGAAATTACAATATTTTTTTTCTCAAAAATTGAATATAAATCACTTTGCATACATTCATATTACATTTTTATAGTTCAAGGTTCCAAATAATAGAACCATACACCCTTAATGTAATTTTACATGTAAGTTTCTATTTCCCTATTTTGTTAAATTCTCAGTATCATAATTCATAATAACATTGTAATGATAACTTTTATCATTAAATTAATAGGCTCAATCTTAATTATTTACAGAATAGTGTGGAGAGATTATTACCCAAATCTCTTTGGGTTCATTACCTGTATTGTATATGTATACAAATCCCTCCAAATTTTGTAAATGAGTCACAAAAATATTCCATTTAAAGAAGATTAGCATAACACACAATGAAAATTTAACTTACATGTAAGACAAAAGAAGTCCCCAAAAATGCCCATTGTTTTTGTTTACAATCTAATTTTTATATTTTCATTAAGATATTACTATTGACAACATGCCAATTTTTAAGATATCAATGTAGTACTAATAGTGTGTTTCTATAAATATTTTTTATTTTGAAGTGATATTCATTTACAATCACAGGCCCAAGGCAGAATTGATTTCACTTTACTGTCCTGACATAATCTATAAACAAAACAATTTCCTTGTACATGTAGGTTGGGGAGATTTTGATATTAAAAATAAATCATTATTTGTCATAAACTGTTTATCAAAATTTTGGGGCTTTAAGGCTTGAATAATTAATGGTATTTACATGCAGGAGGACATGTACATGTAGGAACATGTATTAGTAGTTGTGACATTTACTTTCAACTTTTCTTGAGTTACTACTGCTTTTTGTATATAGTTATGTAGTTTTTAAACTTTGCTAAAAAATTAACTGTGTATCACATACAGTGGTCAACAAAGTAGACAGCATGTATTGTATTTTCTTTTCTATTATGATGTTAATATTGTAACAGTTTAGAGATATATGTATATTAAACAGTTTCAAGAAGTCACTGTGACCATTTTGACAAAAAGAAATAAAAATAAAAATCAATAAGTGCAACTTTAATTTGTGTAGGATTTGTACAACAGGTCATGGACCATTAACAAAAATCAATATTGCATGCTTGTATAAATTGTAGCCATTCAGTTGGTCAGTTCTCTGGTCATATTGACCTAGATGGTTACTAAATACCAATTCAACAAACTCTTATTGATCAGGGAGGAGACCTCTTACATGTAGCTAAAATCATGGTATGGGCCGAGCAGAACCTAAAGGAAATGTCAAGCCTGATTCACACTTCAGAGGGGTATATTTGGCAGCTGTGCAAAGTCCATCGAAGGGGATGGAAAATCAAGGTTCACCCATGTGATGTAAACATTGGCTTAAATAAAAGAACCTTGAAGAGTTAGTATTCTAGGAAGAGTACAATTAATGTTGGTGTGACTGACACTGTGTGAGCAAAATTCTCTAGCATTGAAGTCATGACCTCAGGAAAAACCAAATAACCATATGTTGGTCTCAGAATGACAAAAGTATTGTTGACGAGACATTAAACTCAAATCCTTTCAATATACAATTTAAACCATCAACCTCAATTTAATTATTGTTAGTTATAGTGTGTTCTATAACCTGTTTTGTCTATCACAAAGTTACAGATAATATACAGTAAGTTAAGGCACATCATTCAAATGTATCAAGAATCTTTATTATAATCAAAATAACCAAGTTCCCGCCTAATTATCAAAATTATTAGACAGCAACATACTTCTATTATTAATAGGGGGGGGGTGGATGGCTGAATGGTTAGCGTGCGCGCTCTGTATCATAAAGTCTGTCATTGAGTCGACTGGCGTGGTTTCGAATCCCCGGTTGTACGTGGCAAGGAGTAGGGTCGCCTGTCCAACCTCGTGGGTTTTCTCCGGGTCCTCCGGTTTCCTCCCACTGCTAAAGACCCCTTGGCGCAAGCTTATTATGTAAATAAAATTAAACCATATGTTAGTCCCAAAATGACCTAGTTTGTGTCGAGTGGATGTTAAACCCCATCTCTCTCTCTCTCTCTCTCTCTCTCTCTCACTATTATTAATAGACTATTATAGCAATCTATTCAGTTTTCTTTTCATATCCACCATAATAAATGTTGTGTATGACATAAAATAGGATCTATAGCTTACAATGTACATTGATATATAGTTCTTTTCTTGGCAGAATATTTTCCTAGAGAATAGTGTTAAAATTTATAGATTTATCTAAAGATATAAACAGTCTACATAAAAATAATATTTTGACATTAAATAATTTTTGTTTTGTTGAGTAGAATGTCTTGTGCAATAATAAACAAGGTGGGGCTCTTATCAGACCAGGATATTGTGGTATAGAGTAAAAGTATATATATGTCAGTGTTACTAAATATATTAAATTTCTTATATTGAAATATTAGTCAGTGTTAGTTACAAGTATACCAAGAATATTACATTTAAGTGTACAGGAAATACCATAAGATCTCCTTACATACTGTAGAAGTTGATAATAAACTTGGAAAATTTAAACTTTATACTTCAAGCTTACAGGTTGGTCCTTGGGTTTGAACCAATGATGTACAATGAACATGTAGATGTATGTTGTCAACCAAAACTGTCAAAATCACAATATTGTCTTTTTCCCTTAAAGATAGGTCTCTACTGGGGATCACTTATCAGGATTGATCACAAACCCATGTCTTCTTGAACTTTTGTAATGGACACTAAAAATTCATTGCTTTAAAACTGGTAAAATTATCCATTTTCAGTGATCATATTTACATACATGTATTCGTACATTTCCCCGTCTTCATTACCCCACCCGGAGGGGGCTTGGGTGGCCTAACACATGAGATTATAAGATCTGTCATGGAGCCAAGTTGCTTGGTTTCGATGCCCAGCTTGTTTCTGACAAGGAGTAGGGTCACCTGTCTATCTTCCTGGGTTTTCTCCAGGTACTCCAGTTTCCTCCCACTGATGAAAAAAAAACAGGCACAAGCAAATTATTGAAATACAATTGAACCATAGGTTAGTCCTGTAATGACTAGTTTGTGTTAAGTGGATGTTATACCCCATTTCTGTCTCTCTCATAATCTAGGTTTGTGAAAATAAAACAGTTCACTAAAACCCATTTCATTCATCCATTGGTACATGTACATGAGTGTGTACAGCCAATCAGACCACCAAATACAATGTTCCAAATAACCTTCAGGTAGATGGAATTAAAAGGAGTGAAGGGGAATACAACACTGTCAATTCAGAATGACCCGATATAATAATAAGAGAGACTAACCTGACTAAACCCGAGTAGATAAACAGTTTTAAATAGTTTGTACAGGGGTGCAGATAATGAATCATACCAATTAGTGTAACTGAAGCATAACCACCAGAATCGATAACATCAGAGCTGAATCTTGTTTACCAAGAAATAAATCTATATGTATATGCAAGCTTGGAAATAAGTTACCTGTCGTCAAAGACAATGTCAGACACAGATTTAGGCTTAGTCAGACACAATTTCTTTGGTTCCTGTCATTTTTTCCAGCAGAGATTTGTCTACTTTATCTGTATGCGTTTATTGATATTTTTAGATTATGACCGACACAAAGATAAAAATCGCTATCTCCAGGCCATGATTATTGATCAAGACAGTTGTGTAATTCTTTAGCAATAATCCATCCTGAATTCTCTCCCCATTCCAAGCACTAATTGTATAATATGTATCTTGATAAAACGAAAAATTCTTTCCCTCAATAATAATCGACAATGTGGGAACACCAACAAAACACACGGGACACTAGGCCTTTAACTGGAACAAATATACCGCTATATCATTATATTGCGCAAAATTTATGTGTTACGATTTATGAAGGTCATTACATCGCCATAATTTTATGAATAATAATCATATTTCATTTCTTCATTGTTTAATTGTCAACAGTGCCTCTAATAGAACAATCTCCATTTGACCTTGTAGTGTTAATAGCTCTCTAAAACAATCACACCAATAACCATTGCAAAATTAAATGAAATAAAGCCCATTTGTATCAATTTGGACATTAATAAAATACAAAATATTACACAGTTGTCATATATTGCATTAGAAGTGAGTAAAAATACTTAAGAATAACACAATACGGTTTAATGCAGCAATTCACAATTGTACAGTACATAATTGTATAATGGCTATTAGTTTTATTTATCAGAGGTGATAAATTTTGCTCAAAAATTGTTTTAATTCTATTTCCCATTGGCAACTCATACTTTTGAGCTTTCAGAACCCCTTGCAAAGCCTCCTAAGGAAACAATATATTTAAGATTGCATTGTCAATAAGCCCAAGCTATCAGAACTTCAGAAGCATCCTTTTCAGAGGGTAGCAGAAAATCTATTAGCGCGAAATATGAGGATTGTTTTTTCTCAGTTCACTTTATCTTATCAGTATGACCTTGGGTAAACTCATTGTGACATAAATCAATAATTGTTTGGAATCTATTCTTTTTCAGTTGTGTACACCAGCCAATACACCAGCAACACCACCAAACTTTCCGGACGCTTTAAATGCTCTTGCTAGACTTTCAACAACAGAAAAATACAGTAATTCTCCGTATGCTTCGTCTCCACAACAAATGTCTCGATCTCCAAAGAACATGGAAGTGGAAGCTCAGCGCTAAATGATATTACAAATTAGAATTATATGGATCTTTTTAAAATGGGGGAGACTTAATTGAAATAATACTGCCATGGCCTGGAGGTTTCATGATAAATTCCTTGAAATCTGAGAGTTTATATCTTCTTTTGGAAACAGGCTGATAGTGCTAGGAGCCAGTGTTTTTGCCTACAATTTATTTGCTTGAACACATTTCTTATTATTTGTTGGTTAACATTGTTTGACCTAAAAACAGGTGTGAATGTTGAAGAATTGCTCTTTGTGCCACTTGTGTTCCCCATTCCCCCCCCCCCCTTTATTATGCGCATCTTGTGTCGAGTCATCGTGTGTCAGCACCTTTATTATAGTTTTATATAGAGATTTTTGGGGGATATAAATATAACAGAACAACACCCATCAGGAGAATTTTCATCGTTTTCAAATTTTCACACAGTTTTCAAGACACATTTAGTCAAGTGTGAGAGTTTAAATGTGTATGAAATTCTACTCAGGAACCATTTTATGACCTTTTTTTGCCCATGTGTACAGTTATCTGCCCCTTAAATAAATATATCAGGTTTTACTGATGTACAGTGGATGGATGATTCGTTTCATTCATCATTCCGGTCAAGGATATGCTTCAGGAACAACCATAGCTGCTTCATATTTGATTTTTAATTGGATGAAGATGAGGCAAGATACGCCTAGCCCAATCCCCAGACAGAATTAATTCAACAATTGTGATAAAATTCAATAAATTAGCAGTCAGTGGAATGTTAAAGACGGTTGTGGAGAGGTATATATACATGTACGGAAGTCACACACCAGTAATAATAAGACTTGAACGGTATTATTCTGTGTTTTGTGGTTTTGTATGTATAAGGGTAAATGATGTAAAAATGGTGATGTTAAGACCTCATGTTGAGATCTGACCGTAGTCCAGACAGAAGCACACATAGAACTCTACTAATTAATTTAGATTTATATATACAATTCATATATATATTAGATATTTGTTTTTTATGTTGTTATTACAGACTCTTTGAAGGAGTGATATGTTTTTTCTGTGTGCAAGATAACCTATATACATGTATGGAGAATTTGTTGAGTGCTGATGTAGTGTCTATCTAGTATAATGTTTTATATATGGCTATCATTTATTGACTAAATATTATTGTTTTTACTTTCATTTAAGTTCCATCAATTAACATGACATACATGTAATGTCTAATCACCAAATCCCAGATATATATACATGTACATTGTATATTGTCATTCTTCATTAAAATTGCTATTTGAAACATTTCGATGTGTTAGTGTTTTTATTACGTTATGTCCCTTTTTGAAAACCTTTTGAACACGATAGGGGCTGCACTTTTGAACGTTCCGCGACCTTCGATTGTGGAGTTAACCACACACCCCTCCTCAAACACTTTCCTAGAACCTTGTGAATGCGATAGAGGCTACAGGTTATGGCAGATTAATTAGTGTGAATTATTCGTGTCAATAGAGCACGAAATATAACGATCTAGCCTTACCAATTTTCAGTATTCCACGACATTCCGTTGCTGAGTATTCCCAGACACCCTTTCCGACAATCCTCTGAACGTGATAAAGGCTTTGGTTTTTGACATTTTTATACGTCCCCACCGTTTGTCGGCCCGTCGTCTCTAGAGGCTAAAGTTAATATCCGATTGACTTTAAAATCGTACACATTGTTTAAGATCATCAGAATGATTTTCAACGATTTCTGATAATTACTGTCAGAGTTAGGTCCTTGATCACTTTGAAAGATCTTGTGGACGCTCTAGAGGCTAAAGTTAATATCCGATTGGCTTTAAATTAATATAGTGTTTAAGGTCATCAGACGAAGAATCCTATTGATTTTCAACTATTTCCGATAATTACTGCCAGGGTTATGGCCCTTGATCACATTGAAAACCCTAGTGGATGCATTAGACACCATAGTTATCATCTGGTTGTTTTTATTTCGATTGACTTTAGACTAACAAGTATATTGATATTCAATGATGTTTGATAACTTGAACAGCTAAATCCATGATATTAAAGGTTTTGTATACTAAACGTTAGCATGGGCCATACAGATTCTAATGATTTTCTGATAATTACTTAATGAGTTGTTACTCTAATTCAGATTTTAGTGTATTATAAATGTTTCATTACCGATAAAAGTAAAAATATTCGACAACTCTTATTGACTTTACGTAACAAGGAGTAGGGTCGCCTGTCCAACCTCGTGGGTTTTCTCCGGGTCCTCCGGTTTCCTCCCACTCCTAAAGACCTCTACGCGCAAGACCCCTGTGAAGCACTGGGATCGTAGGAGAGGCTGCAACCTATTGATTTGAGCATTCTAGAACTTTATCATCCAAAGAAATATTACTTGTCCGAAAAAGCTTGCGACCACGATATAGATTAGATTTCCTGAAGGCATTTATTAATACATGTACATGTATTAAGAATATTAACTGCTGTGGTTAGATGTCATTCAAATTTGTGTCTGCCTCCCCTACCATATATCTGAAATGTACACACCTGATATGATAAAGTTGTTCAATAGTACATTATAACTTGATAAAATTGTATAAACGTTGTTTTTTTTATACGCCCGCATTTCATGTGGACGCATTATTGTCGTCGCCCCAGTCTGTGTTTGTGTACACTCTACAGGTCACAATTCTTATCCGATTTCGACGAAAGTTGACATATAGGTTCATCTGATTTTAACGAAACTTGAAATGCATGTTTATAAGCCAGTGATCTTGGTTCCTTTCAATATTTGTGCATATTGGATTGTAACTTCCTGAAGTATGGCCCCTGATTGTACGAAAAATCGCATTTTTAGCTGGTGGGCCCTCTAAAGCTCACAATTATTATCCGATTTAAAAAAAAAACGTTCGAATATATCACCGTTACACCGTAATGTCAATTGAGTTCGAATTTCGTGAAAATCGGACCCAAACTGCCGTACAAAATGGCCGCACCTCGTACGCAAACAGTGTAAAAATATGATATATCAAGGTTGTGGACCTGGACCCTCTCGAGGTCGCAACGGTTGAGTTCGAATTTCATGAAAATCGGACCGACACTGCCTGAAAAAATGGCCGCTACTTATACGCAAGTAGTGTAAACGTATGTAATATCAAGGTTGTGAACCCTCTAGAAGTCACGATTTTGATGAAACTTAAAATATATCTTTATATCCCAAATATCTCAGTCCATCTTTTCAGACCATAATGATTGTACGAAAAATCGCATTTTTAGCTTGTTCTCTATCCATCTCTTGTAAAATGTGGGCGTATCTTGCCTGGCAACCGTTGGTATGAACCTCAGATGTTAATGTCTTCTTTTCTATACAATCGAGAAGTGGAGCGTTTACATATATGAAATAATTCATATTTAACGTGTGCCATTTTTATCTTGTACTCGCGTGGCTACATATGATGGAAATTTCCAAAATATATATACACAGACAAATGGATACAAATTATATGGGATTGGTGTGAAATTACGCCCACTGACCTGGTCGAAAGAAACACAAACATGACCAAATGATTATAGTTTAATGACGTTAATTCACTGTGCAGTATACCAATGAGCATGCGATTTCTCTTTGGTTAACAAATACATGTACCTAAACATATATTATCTTTTCATTGTTGCATACATGCAATGCATACAAACACGTGTGCTTTATTCTTTGTTGGCATAATATTAGGCTTATATTTCTATGTTCAACCATATTGCATATGTGCTGTGCATCAGTGCTGCAAAGGTGTATTTCCTCCACATATAATACCACGAACACTAACCCGTATTGTATTTCAGCTGCCAAATGATATTTTGTTTATAAATAATAAAACCAGTTTTGTGTGCCAAAAAGTTATAAATAATCATTATTATAATAGGGTATAAACTAGGTTAATGCTTAAAGCTCTATATTGATTAATACAATATATAAAAGTACTAAGGTCGGTTAGACAGTCGTGATGTTATTGCCGTAAGACAATGACAGTAGATCTGGCAAAATAATCTATTAAATGGTAACTGCGATGTTATATTATCGAACAGATTGAACTGTTCATTAATTGGCACAATGACGATATATAACGACATGAAGGCGTTCATTCTATTTATCAATTTCAAGTAATGAGAGGCGCTTTGTTTTGATGGGGTTTTTTTAGTTTTTTTTTTGTTTTTTTTACCTTGAGGCCAACCTGCGAGGATTTTTTTTTTTTTTTTTACAAAAGCCGAGATGTGCGCTTTAACATTTTTACGGGACGTGATCACTCTCACCGATTCAATAAATGTGATCAATGTTTACGCACCACCCGCCTGTCGGTCATTCACGAGACATGGGTTTTTTCGTACAGACGAGTAAAGGGGAAAAAAATATATATGGAAGTGGAAAAAATATATATTTTTAATAAAGTACCCGAAATCCGATTATTGTTTGGTCACATACCCCCACACCTCTTGCCAGATTACTACCCACGCCCATATTGTACATTATTTCCCTTAAAACGGCGAATTTGTACTGGACGCCTGGCCCCACATTGGAAGGTGTATAATGATCAAATAAAGTCTCTTTAGCAATAAAAATGACGGGAAATGTTAGAACTAGTGAGTATTGTGAGATGATAGCAGAAGACAGGTCTTGAACGCGTGAAAACAACATGGCCAGTGAGAACCATTCTATATACTGTAATATATAGTCAAGCAGTAGTAAGAAGTTTTATTTTAATCCCCTCAAGTGCCCGTGGAATAACGTCATGCTTAGTTTTTATGAAACCGAAAAGTCTTAAATACGATGACTTATTTCGCCGCCACACTAAGAACTATTAAATTGACAATGCACAACACTCAACTGGTACGTCATTTTGTCTGGGTTGACTGACTATTGATTAAAACAATTCGTTCGAATCTGGCTGGGGACTATTTAAATATACTTTCCCAGAAAAGTATTTATCGGGTGGTTATTGCCAATAAAAGTATATATATATCAAATTTGGTATACATGTATGGAAAGTATAGACCCAATCTTACTAGAAAAACACTGGATTACCAGAAAAACGCCCATGGGGCAAGCACTGAGCAAAATTGTCAGGGTATCACTAACTGGCAACCCGACTGTTATCTGCCAGCTTATTGTGTGCCAGCTTAAGTGAGGGAGCGGTTGTTATTTCTTGATCAAATGGTTAGGCGGTTTTGGGAACATTGAGGGTTGTCAACGTACCAAAGACTCTGCAATTAAACGACGGAAAAAGAAGTTGATAGAAATAATTAAGAATTTACTTAGGCTTCAATATGTATGGTAAATGTACAGTAAATAATGATAAATACATTCTAAAAAAATGGACCCTCCTACATTGCGTCTAACAACAGCTTACTTATAGCTATGTTTGTCCCCGGCGGATACAAAGTTTTAAGAGGAAATTGAAGCAAATTTTGAAAGATTGGTTACTTTGAATATGTTTTTAGTCCAAATATATCATCAAATCACAAAGTTTGTACGCGGGAATGTATCTTTAAATGGATTCGCCCGCTCGTACAGCCAATAGTATTATAACATTTCATTCCGCTTTTTTTTTGGTTTTTTTTTTTTGAGTTAATCTTGTTTTTCTATTCTATTAGTATTTAACGTCCGCTTCCACCGAGGGTGATATCGCAGACAATTTGTCTTATTTTTATTATCTTAGAGCGCAGGGGTCTTTCCTGTGGGAGGAAACCGGAGTACCCAGAGTAAACCCACGGGGTTGAGAAGGCGCGCCTATCTCCAAGCCACATACGCTCACCACACCAGGAATCGAAACCACGACCCCAAGCAAGAGATGGCCGACCAACTTGAAGCGCGTCACTCTAGACCACTAGGCTATCCCAACCCCTGGTCTAAAGAAATTGTTATTGGTCGACTCCGAATAAGCCTACCAATCACAACGACTTGAAGGGCGTTGGTTATCAAGCCATTTGATTGATTAAGGTAGAATGTCATGGACGTACTAATAATATTTGGTTTGTAAAATATGTTTTGGTAAACCTGTCGTTATGTGTTTATGGAATGACTTTGCGAAATAAAACCGTAAAATGTCATTGTCTTTCATTTTAAAGACCATCATGGACTTATCGAGATAGCAATTATTAACATGTATAGCAATGCAGACGTTATATGATTTTATATCTCTTCACGACGCACCAAATTTGGAAAAATAAATATCCGGAATAATGGTCTGCACTATGCAGAGGTGAGATCATTACAGCACTGGCGACTAATTGACCATATCGACCGGA